TTTTACTCCAGGAGCTGCGAGGCTTGTTTTCAAGCTTCAGACTGAACTGAAGCAGCAGCTGCTGACGTCATTACGATCTTGCTTGATGCTGCGTTCAGGACAAGTATGGAAAACTCACCACTCTTATGCCAATACGGTTGCAATGATGCTTTTAGGTACCGAAATGGAATTGCATGAACATTCACGTGGTGGTTATGTAATACAGCGAATCAATAATAAAAAATCTGCGTCGACAAATTTACATAATCGACGTCATCGATTATTTCAACTAATTGGTGCAGCCCTATTGGACGCACTATTTTCAGACCGAAGAACGCACTAGTGTTCAGACCAGAACAAGCAGCAGCAGCGGGGTGTGGGAGGAGCGTGTCCTCAGCGGGTGAAATAAAGATAAAATAAAAGAAAATGGCTGTGATTTATTTACTAAAAAGCAAGCGAATGTTGCGCACAGCAGATAATTAACTCACCAGATGATTTAGAGGCGATTTGTTTGGTTAGTTTCGTCACTTCAGAAGCTGCCAGCTGACGGACTTTTTTCTTTTTTTTTGGTCCCGAGCAGCTGATCCACATCGGTGCTGACATGTCCTGCCAAAAAATCCAACTGCACACGGTCGATTTCAGGTAAAGATCTCCAGTCCGTCTGTTTCGGTTTTCAGTGGGAGACATGTCGAGCGGTGAAAAGTTCAGATTTTTGAACTCTGGCGGCGGCGGCTTCCGCAGTACCGCATGCGCGGAAAAYGCTCTGCGCCTCTTCCGCCTTCCTTGCGTGCCGTCCAAAACGTACGTGACGTGACGCACGACCCCTAGAGGCGCATCCTCCATAGACTTTGCATGTAAATCGGCCGCTCCTGCCGCTCAAAACGCGTTCGGCGTGAACGTAGCATGAGAGTCATTACGATAGCTTTTTAGCTTTACTAATTTAGCACATGCTCTGCACGTAGACGTCCGCTCTGAGTATATAAACGAAGCTTAACCTGGCGGGGAGGCATGTAAAGCCTGGCAGCATGCGGTGGGATTTTATCGTTTTTATCGCGAGATGACAAATAATTACCATGGTGAATGTATTTGACGGTATATTGCACACAATAACATATYGCCCATCCCTACTCTGTTCCCATTGGTAGATTTAAACTGGAACRCYCACTCCAGTGGTAATATTCCACTCGTAAAGYGGAAGWAGTGAAACTGCCCCAGCTTCGATTTCAAGATGGCGGCTACTCGCAGCTTTAGAAAGTTAACTACGTAACTTTTACTGTTAATTATCTTTCTTAATKTTTTATGCATGTTTAATCACTCGCACAAGTAGTGTGTTTTCTGTGCAATACTGTACGTATTAAAATCAATGTTTATTTGCATGACGTACGTAGTAGAGCTCTTTTTTTGTCATTCTTTATATTGTAGCAGTGTTGTAGCTAGGTTGGCGGCAACAATACAATTGCCTGTCGGCTAACCGGAATGCAGTTTCACAAGTTTTGTTGGGAAATGACGTCACTACCACTTACCTGTTCCGGGAATACGATGTAAATGGAACGCAACAATAGATCTGGCTGTCGTCTGCGTAACAATTAAATGAAATACCATGCTTTCTGAGAATAGAACCGAGTGGGAGGAGATCCAGAGAAAACAAAAGCGGGCCTAAAATTGACCCTTGAGGGACTCCACATAAAAGAGAAGAGGAGGACATTGACCCCTCAAGACTAACACAGAAAGTTCGGTTGGACAGGTAGGACCTGAACCAATTCAAGGCAACACCCCTGATTCCCACCCACTGGTCCAGCCGAGATAACAGAATGTCACGGTCCACAGTGTCAAAAGCAGCTGTTAGGTCTAAAAGCACAAGGATGACACAGTCACCGGATTCAGTAGCAAAAATATATATAATTAAAAACTTTTAAAAGAGCTGATTCAGTGCTGTGGCGAGTTTTAAAACCAGATTGGAAAACCTCGAGAATACTATGCTCTTCAAGAAAACCAAGTAATTGATTGTACACAATTTTCTCAAGGACTTTGGAAATAAAAGAAATAGGGATGCAAGTTATTGATCAATAAATTAATCTAAAGTTGATTGATCTTATCGATCAATTAACGATTAAGTGACAAGCGACCATTAGGAGCAGATATAAGATTTTTTTCTTCTGCTGCCGCCTTTCATTTTATTTGATTAGTATTTTTATATATATTGTTTTGTTTTTAAAATGAAATGAATAAATACTGTAATAATAGTTTTCCTAAAAATCTGGCATTTCTCTTGAATCAAGAGTCTTTCTATAACATGAAGGGCTAATTTTTTACACTAAATTTAACTTTAGTATTTGGTATTGTATTTTATAAAATTTATTGTGCCAGCTGTATTAAACACCGAATGAATAAACAGAAAATTGTGGATTTCTCTCACATTATTAAACTTGTATATTTTTATAAAATATAACAAAACTGGAATCTGTTAGGTTGCTAGTTGGAAAAATGGAAAGGAAAAAAAAGTAAAGCATTTAATCCACCCTGAACAGAGAAATGTTAAACTAACATTTAAACACAGGGTAACATTTTAATCTAAAGATTTACTCAAAAATAAACTATAAACATGACCTGAGAGGGGTGAACATACAAATGAGTACTGGAACTGTTTGTTTACATTCCCTGTGGTTCTATCTGGACAGAACTGATCTGACATCAGTTACCGTTCATTTGATTTGTTCACTGGCCGGGTTACGTCACTGAGATGAGATTAACTTCACGTTAATTATTTGTAGTGACTAACTTTTTTTTGTTTAGTTGGGGTTTTTTTTGTTTGTTTTTGTTTTTTCACATGAGATAAACTCTACAAGAAGMTAATATTAGCTACAGTTAGCTTTAGCGTCATACTGCTGGACGGTCTGGTACAGCCTTCAGTACTTTTCCTTCCAGTTTGGTGTAGTCCATTATTATTTTTGTGTCTCAAATAAAACTAAGCAAGATTTGCACATTTATTTATGATGCCACCCACATGGAGGCAGTCGGCTCTCTGCTCAGCTCAACTAGGGCCGGGGTAGAGTTAGGCCAGGCTGAGAACAGCGGCGCCTTCTACTGGATGAAAGCAAAACTACATTGAAATATGGTTTAAACTGATGTTTTCAATTAATCGAATGGAAGGAATTTTAATCTAATAAACCATTATTTGACAATTAATCGTAAGTTGATTAAGTGTTTGCATCCCTAAAAGAAAGTTTGGAAGTTGGCCTAAAATTAGCAAAATTAGTTGTGTCTAGTCCAGGTCTTTTAATAAGAGGTTGCACCACTGTATGTTAAAAATGATCAGGGCCCACACCAGAGGACAGACTACTATTAATGAGTTCAAGGCAAAATGGTCCTAGGTTGGGGAAAACCTCTTTAAAAAGTCGAGGAGGGACAGCATCCTTAGGAGAACCTGAAGGCCTCAGATGAGAGATAATCTCCTGAAGAGAAGACATCAATTTTTAAAGTGTGTTTAAGGATGCAAATAATTAATCGACTTACAATTAATTGTCGAATAATAGTTTATTAGATTACAATTCCTTCCATTCAATTTATTAAAAATATCTGTTTAAACCTTATTTCAGTGTAGTTTTGCCTTCATTCTTTGACATCGCTGCTCTGTGAGCCTGGCCTTACTCTACCCCGGCCCTGCGTTGAGCTGAGCAGAGAGCAGTGTTGATGTGGGCAGCGTCATAATTAAACASGCAAATCTTGTTTAGCTTTATTTGCGACAATAATAATAATGGACTACACCAAACTGGAAGGAAAAGTACCGAAGGATGTACCGGACCATCCAGCAGTATGACGCTAAAGACAAGAGAACAGGATGACACTGAGGATGGTAAGCTAACTTTAGCTAACGTTAGCTTCTCCTTGTAGAGTTTGACTCTGTGTGAAATAAAACAAAAAAAGTTAGCCACTACAAATAATTAAAGTGAAGTTAATCTCATCTGTGTAACGTTACCCGGCTAGTGAACAAATCAAATGGACAGTAACTGACATCAAATCATGCAGCATCTGTTCAGGGTGGATCAAGTGTTTTACCTTTTTTTCTTTACTTTTTTTTTTTCCAACTAGCAACCTAATAGATTCCTGTTTTGTCATATTTTATAAATATTTACAAGTTTAATAATGTGAGAAATTCACAATTTTTCTGTTTATTCAGTCAGTGTTTAATACAGCTGGCACAATAAATTTTATAAAATATAATACTGTACTTTTTTATTTAATGTAAAAAATTAGCCCTTCATGTCTTAGAAAGACCCTTAATTCAAGAGAAATATCAAGTTTTTAGGAAAATGGCCGCTTATCAATTAATCATTAGTCGACTGATAAGATCAATCAACTTTAGATTAACCCATTAATCGATAATTTGCATCCCTAATTGTGTTGATAGACCAAGTAAAACAGGAGTTATGATAAATAAAGTACAGAACTTTTTAAAAAATGTTTGTTATATTTGAAGCATAGTACTGAGCGGCCTGACCAGTAGGGCTGCCTCGATTAATCGATTAATCTATGACTAATCGATTATTAAAATAATCTATGACTAATTTAATAATCGATTAATCGTTTTCTTTATTTGTTGTTCTTTACTTTGTTTTTCTCTCCAAACTGCTTTGACACCTTCCACTGCCACATCTGCCTTTCTGTCCTTGACACACATGCACAGTAGTGGTAACTGGGGTAGGCCGTGGACGTCACAAGACATTATACAGACAGGCTCTGGTATCATGGCTRCCTGACAACAGAGCTCAAAAGTGTGGGATCATTTTAAGAAAATGAAAGAGAAACCTGTACAATATCGGCAGAGCAGAACCTGCCTTCCACAGCAATTATTTTTAGTTAGCATATAGCTACAATCTAACGATGGTTATATAATAGCAGCTGCATTCTGACGTGATAAGCTGTATGTTTTATATTCAATCAACGTATGATCCAATAACTCGACTTATCGAATAAATAATCGGTGATTAATTGATTATTAAAATAATCGTTTGTGGCAGCCCTACTGACCAGTGAAATGTCCAGTCAGTCTCCCAGGTGGCATTAATCGTATTAACAGTCACGTGCCAAAAAATAATTGATTAAAGATTTTCTGATGATTAATTGCACAACCCTACTCTGGATATAAACAAACAAATAATAATAATAATAATAAGTACACACTCATCGCAGCATTAAAAACCCGGATCAAATAGTATAATTGCAATGTAGGGATTGAATAACGCAGCTGCTTTTTCAAAACACAACAGTCCTCTTTTGTAGTTTTGATTCTGGCTAATGTCTGCAGGGTACTATAAAGGGTCGAGTTGCTGCTGATTAATTCAGCGTAACAAGCAGGCAATTGTGCTGCTCGTATTGCCGACACTATGAAAATAAATTAAAAAAACAGGATCCGCATTTAGTTCTTTTCAGTTCCCCAGCTGTGGATGAGYGGTGGTGGAGATTCTTCATGCTCTTGTCTAGCTGCTGGACTGTGTGCCTCCTCTCCACATAGAAGCCCTGCTTCTTTAATACCATCACCATGGAGACAGCTCTTTGGCAACTTCACCAGCTCTCAGGAGCCCAGGCACACGATCATTCAAGCACGCAGAAAATAAAAGACACACGCACATACATATATGTGACAAGAATAGCACGCATGAGCAAAACAAGCCATCGGAGCTCCAACAGAGAGCTATTCTCACTTTCACAAGTAGGTGTCAGGTGTTAAATATAGCCCAAACAATGACACAAGTCTTCTCCTTTCGGTCATCTCATTCAAATTAATCGCACAGTAAGAGCTACACGTTTAACCTTCACATTACTGATACACACTTACTAAATAGCTTTTTATTTTAAACATTTACAGTAAGTTGTTTACATGTAAACAAGCTCCAGTTTTGTGATGAACCAGGGACACATCTTATGCAATACAACTATTTAAAAATAAAGATAAAAATTACTTTTACTGTTATAAAGATCTCAAATTTTCCATGACTATCTAATCACAACTTCTGGGAATTTCAGGGCAGCATNGTTATAAAGATCTCAAATTTTCCATGACTATCTAATCACAACTTCTGGGAATTTCAGGGCATCATTTTAATATAAATGTAAACAAAATTATATTTTAATTATTTTAGTATTTAGRTGTCCTTCACTGTTTTAGGCAACATAAACTACTCCAGCTTTGTGTTACCATAGTGTAAATATTTCACAAGTGTAGTTGTCACAATAAAAAAGATCGCTTTGGATGTGATGACATTCATCACACATAACTCTTTATTAACCTTACATTCACTTTTCACGGACCATTCATATTTAGTTAAGAGTTGTTTTATTTGAATATTTTAACCAGTTGCTTCGCAAATGAATTGCCAAAGCGTTTAMATGTTGGCTCTGGCTAATTGCTGGTGATAAACATTTTTGAATTAGCTGGTTTTTAACTTAAGTCATCGCCAGCAATTTTGTGACTGTAACACCAATTTTTTAAATCTTGTTCTGGGCCGTGCTCAAATAGTTTATTTTATTTTTCGTATTATTGTTTTTAATTGTAGCGTCAGGAAAYGCATTGAAACGTGCTTCCGTTTCAGAGACCAGACTCGAATTACATTCTGTTGTTAAGCTAAGCTAACGTCAGCTAGCCCACACAATATCCTAAACTTGTGCCAGTTTTTTCAGAACTAAAACAAAATCACTTACCTGGTCTCGAATTTTGAGAACCACCATATTTTTGGGATTCTAACTGCTCTCATCCAGATTCATAAAGCGGTATCGGTCCCTTCCCAAACAGAACTGTCGGATCTTGTCTGCTGGAGGCCTGACGAGCTCTTCGGCTAGCTTCCTATGTTGGCATGAGAGCACAGGAACAGCGGAAACTCCATAACATTACCGCCACCACATTTCACCTCTAAAAGACACGTAAGRCGATTGGYCGARTCAGCGCAGCGTTTCAGTAAGCGGRKTTCTGATTGGCTGCTRCYAACTGCGCTCGGTGACGGAAGCACTCTGTTACAATGTGCATATTTTCTCCAAGCTCTTAGTTATTAAGTTATTAAACACTTTTAAGCGAAATTAATTTCCAGTACAGTGTACCAAAAAAAAAAAACACACGATTTAACTAGTTGTTTAATGTTTTCTGACTTTATTAAGTCGTATTAACAGMATTTTAAATTTATTTATCTAATTATTTTACTCAGTGTGATTAATCCAGAACTTGCACATTCACAATTACCCCCCCAAAATGAAAATATTACATTTAATTTGATTGGACACGAACATGCAGGGAGCAAATTTTGATTTAATCATTAAAATATTAAAAAACAAATGCAATGCTATAAATCATGTGAAAGACTAAGCAGGAAAAGGAATCTGAGTGTCTCCAAATTAACAAATYAGTGATGGATTTAGGTTTTGTCTCAGGCCTAGAATCAAATATGATGAAATTTGGCCCTCTAGTGACTTCTTCCTCAATTACAAGTAAGTTTTTAAAGTTACAAGTGTACATCTGAAARGCAACTGTAAACATACCTTGAATCATTCATCTTGATCCTGTTGATCATTTGCATTGTCCTGGATCAGGATTCACTCAATTTGGTCTGTGTAATCAGCAAATCGTAGCAGGCTGTAAATAAACTGGCACGCATTCTCATGAAGACAGCTTATGCCAGGGGTCTGCAACTTTTACGATTAAAAGAGACATTTCTGCTACTTGACGCACTAATAAAATGTGTCCAGAGTTGCAAAACAAGCTACAACTGTGATTATCAACTGGTGCTCCGTGGGCCTTTTCGAGGCATTTTCGGGAACCTTCACGGCCAGTGGAGATGAGATTATAAAACTAAAAAATATACTGTGAATTTTATTATTTATTATTATTTTTACAAAAGGACAAATTAAAAGACTATATTCATATAAACAAAAAAAAAGAAAACTGTATATAGT